CAGCCTGGCCGCTCACCCCAGGGCCCTCAAAACTGCCGGTTTCGCATCACCTGAAGCGTGTCCCGGCGTCCCCGGAGCTCGGGTCACCGCGGGGGCTGGCTGGTAACGCTGAAAGGACAAACCGCGGAAGGTATCGCCTGGCCCCGCACCGTGCCTTGAACCCCGGGGCTCCGCGGCCTCCCTCCGGCTCCCCTGTCAAGGCATTCACAAACAAAATCCAATTCTATTTAAAAACGAATGGAAGAGCTCACTTGCCCCAGAAAGCCCCGGAGCCGCACGCTTCAGGCACCCCGTAAGACGTACGAGTTTTAACTGAAAATGTCCATACGCCCTCGCTCTGCCAAAAAAATAGGATCCCAGGACAAACCGCAGGTCTAGAAGAGAAAAGTCTTTCCTCATGGAAAAAACAATGTACTTAAAGGTCCGTGTGGTATTTTGTGATCTCACAGCCTGGGGCGTTTTGCAACTTTACCGCACAAATATTTGCTGCATGTTTTTGTTCTTCTTCATTTTCCTCCTTCTGGCCGATAACTTAATTTTTTGTTTCTCACTGCTAGAGAAATGCTGAATAACACATGCTGACTTACTTGATTCATTGCCAATATTTATTTCAAATTGATAGACCGCAGTGAAAAGTCACTGCAATATTAACAGCTGTAATGGCATGAAGAAATTAATCACTGAGAAAACAGACGAGCAGAAGAATCAAACCATAAAATAAATCAACAAGCTAGCACTGCTCATCCTGACTCAGAAAGTATGTGTGTATATATTCTGAAATAGTTGATCTTGCAATTTTTTTGCAATAATTTTAAGTCAAGTTTCACTAAGGCGGAAATTGTCATAGTATTATTTGTTTGTACACAATGTGTTTTCTTGACACACAGAGTGATATTATCTATAAAATCACGCACCAAATATTTTTAGCTCATGCTTCTGGACTTTAACTAACTTTCCCCTCCTTTTTTTCCCCATACACAAGCACAGAAGTGAAGACAGGAGAGTCTGTCTTAAAGAGAACTAGATACAATTTAAGCACTTAGAGCTATAACCCAATTTCCACCTGATTTTCTTAACTTGCGTTTTCTTGGGGAAGGAGACAAATTTGTGCCAAAGATTTTTGTGCTTTCCTCCACCACCACTTCACATGCATTATCATTATAGCCCTGTCTTCAGAGAAAAGGTCTTTTCTGCCGAGCCTACCTGCAGTGGTTACTGCACCCCCCCAGGCGATCCAGCCTTGTAGGGCTGCAGAAACCTTTGGTAGCACTTCCAAAACTGGAAATTAAACCTAGATCCATCATAGGCACTCCACACTGCTACTCCTATTCCATGGGACTGATGTGTTCTATTTGCGAATATGTAATTTCCTGAGTAGACAATTTATTGCTGAGGTTAGACTAAATGTCCCTAATAATCCTTTTCGGCCTTGAAATCTCTGTGTTTGTGACTTTCACCTCTCGTTGGCCTTTAAGTTTTCCATCATTTTTGTTTATTTTTGCAGATACCAGTATGAAAACTGATTTTAGTCAGACAAATTTAGACTCCTGGATATGTTGTTTATCTAGCTATTTTCGTATTTTCTTTTTTTAGATGATCGCATGTGAAAAGACAGGCACATAAATTCTGCAAAACTATAAAATTAATACTATGACAGACTATGTGATGGACTTTAAAAACAGCCTTTTAAAGTCTTTTTAAGAGTATGTGCATTTGAGGATAGCTCGTAAGAAAAGCTGAAGAAGCAAAATTCTGTCTCTTTCTCTGTCTTTCTTTTAAATTCTTTTTCTTTTTAATATTGTTACAGTTCCTGGGCAATTGTTGCGGTTGGATTGCTGGTTCTGGTTTTTATTGCTCTGTTGGCTCGTGTTCTTGTCAAAAGAAAACCACCAAAAGACCCACTGTTTTATGGTATGTCTTGGTAACAGTGAAGCTAAGTTCAGAAATTTTTAATTTATATAAATGATAATATATTATGGTTATTTCAGACTGAACATTTAAGGCATGGCTTCAGAACCCAGTCTGGTGAGGTGCTGAGGAGACAAGAAGGAAAGAAAGACTGGGGAAAGAGGAGGAGAAACAATGTTTTTTTGAACCTTTTCATTCTTCTTAAGTAGGAGATCCAGCTTCGGGACAAGCCATATTTCCTATTTGAAAAGAATAACACTGTGAAAGTGTTTGAAATATGGTCATACCTGCTCTGTCAAGATCCTCTTTGTAGCAGGGCTTGGGCATCACAGTAGACCTTGCGTATATCTCTTCCTGAGTGGACTCATTTGGGATTTTATGATCTTTTGGATCAACAGCCTCCATGACTTGAATCTTCCTATGACTGAATTCCTTAATTCTCCCATTTTCGTTAAGTTTCTGTGTTAACTCACCTTTGTGAAACCTCCCCAACTCCTGGCTCAGGCTGTCTGGAGACTCACGGAAGCGTTTCTATATTGGTACTTTGCCATAAAAGAATAGATATATTGGTTACTTTTTAAAAGGAAACCTTAGGTGTAGATTATCTTATAGCAAAAATCTAGAAAAAACACTGCTATTGTGCCTGTGGCTGGCACAACAGCTCCATTGAGCTGGAAATTTTGCAAGATGGGCCCATAGGCAAAGCAGGGTACAAACCACCTGTATTTGCCCTCTGTCTTGCTCCTCATTAAAAGTTGTAGGCGTCTGTCCCCAATGTTCTGCGTGAGGTCGGGAACTCTCAGTTCACGCTGAAGTCAAAGGAAATAAATAACATAAACCTACTGCAAATAAATTTTCTGTCTCAAAGGAGTGACTCCCTAACTTGCCAGGTAGGTCTCCTATGGACTGCTGCGGCTAATGCAGTTTGCCTTTCTCACCTTCAAAAACGGCAAGTCACATTTTCTTCTCCGCCTCCTTTTTGTCGTCCTTTCCCCTTTCCAAGAGATGACTACAGTCAAGGTTGTCTGCTTTGTGTGAGGAAGATTTTTGAAAGGCCACATAGTCCTTTCTGCAGACACTGACTTTCTACGGAGGCTGTGCCTACAGCTCTACAGAATTCCATGTTCCTAAGAAAAGCTTCCTAAGAACTTTGTTGACTAACCACTAAGTGAAAAATATTAAGCTCTCTGGGAAAGTCATATTGTATGTTAAATATCTGTGACCTCAGAATAGATGCATCTAGTTCAATAGATTTCTGCCTGACTGAATTTATCAGACTGTGAAGTAACTGCATGATTCCAAGTCTTTTATTAATTTATTAATTTTTTTTCCCTTTATCTTACTACAGTTTATGCTGTATTTGCCTTTACCAGTGTAGTGAATCTAATAATTGGACTGGAACAGGATGGAATTATTGATGGATTCATGACTCATTACTTGAGAGAGGTAAACAATTGTTTGGCTTACAAATGTAAACAAAATCTTTACTATAAATAGATTGTTAGAGTATTTGTCACAGAAAAAAACAGCCACTAACACATTCAAAAAGGTCATCTTGAATTTGGACATTGACTTGTTTCATTATTGTTACGGACAAAACCTTCATTGACTTGAAATCACTGATTCATTTGGAAAAAATAGCATACCTTTCAAGCTCCAACATTATTTCATTTAGTTGAAGTAATGTTGTTCTGTATTAATGCCTGTGGGAATTGAATAGACTGTACATGTTTGCAGAAAGCCATAGATACTCAGCATTCAGGAGTGGATGAGTACTGCAGTACCTAAATGTGTTAGCAAGAAAGAAACAAAATGTTCCTTTATTTTTGCTTAATCACTTTTCTAAAAGGAATTAAAGTAGAGTTAAAAAATGATGATGCCAGATACCTAGTCAGCAGAATCCGTTGGCTGCTGAATATCAACATCCACCAAAAATAGCTCAGTAAGAGCTTGATATGAAAGTCACTGAAGTCATTGAAAAGATTCCATGAACTTTGGCGTGAAATGAGTTGGACCTTACAAGGTTATATGTTGTCATCAATATATTCAATGCTGTTGTAGATCTCTAGGTTGCTAAATATATCTTTATTTGTTCTGTGTTAAATGTATCTTTATTTTGTAGCTTTTATCACTAAAATATGGAAAAGTAGTATTTCCATAATGTAGCAGAACAATGCTGACAGTCATACGTAGGAGTTTTCCTTTCCATCTTGCACCCTATTTTGCAACTATAGAACTGATTTAATTATACCTGATCCTACCTAAATCAGGTTTGTGCTTGGAAACGAGTATTGTCCGTCAAATGTACCTCTGGATTGAAAGAACATCAGTTACTTTTCTGAAATTGTTTCCTGCTGTTCTGTATTAATTATTTGTTTTTCTTCCTCTAATCACTGCATCTTTTTTAAAATAAATGTTCCCTAGGGTGAACCGTATCTGAACACTGCATATGGCCATGTGATCTGCTATTGGGATGGCTCCGTTCATTATCTGATGTATCTGTTGATGGTGGCAGCTATTGCATGGGAGTAAGTAATTTTGATTTGTGTACTGTTTACTTTGCTTGCATTCTCACATAACATACAAAGGGCTTTCTTTTCTATGTAGTATTTAGATTTTTCTTTCAGGACTGTTTCATGTCTTAGGCCAAAGCAACGCTATTAAAATTTCATTACTTTCAGCAATTGTACCCTCACCAAGTTACCCTTTCTCTCAGCTGAATAAGCCCAGCAAATGCTTTGAGTTGTAGTCTGTCTTCTTCACTCTGTAGCAGAGCATAGCCCATCGGCATGCTTTGTGTTAGTTAAAAGGAAAGCTTAAAGATGATGCACGTTAAAACCATGTGTGAAAAAAACATTTTTTTTTTCAAATAACATATTTATGATAGGAATAATATATTGCTTAGCATGATGATGATCTCTCATCCATGTTAGAGAGTATCATGCAGTTTAAGAGAAAATGATTATTTATAGAGATTCTTATGTTTCGTGCTGTTGAGTAAAGAGTTTGAGAAAATAAGTATTTAAAGCTAATGTACTTGCTGGTAATAAAAGCATTAATAGAATGAAATTAATTATTAATTAATTATTAATTCTTTTATAGTCTTGTACAACCTGTGATGTGCAAAATCATGCAGTCAGCCTTCAGATGAGTGAAACATAACAGCAAATAACTGAGTATGCACAAATCCTGTACTGTTCATGTGATAACCTTCTCACACATGAATGTAGGATTTCTCCATATCCCCCTCTCAGAGGCAAGAATCCACTGTTGACTTGTGGTATCTTTACTTACTAAGATACAACCATGGCAATTAGTATAACATATGAGGGTGATTTGGGGTAAGGGATTTTTAGGGATGGTGCAATAATTACGTCTTGTTTTCTTTGTTAAACAGACAAAGCTATAGAACCATTGGCCTCTACTGGCTCGGTTCCATTATCATGAGCATCATTGTCTTTATGCCTGGAAACATTGTGGGTAAGGACATAATTTATATGACTAGCTTTTTCCTGTGAAGCATTTTCTAAATTAATCATTAGGCTATCTATATTTTACTGCAGTATTGGTTCCTTTCTGTAATACTATGAAAGAGAAATTTTAGGAATATCAGTAAAGACATGCAAGATATTTCGAAATTTAAATATGAGGAAGGGAAGATGGAGACCAGGAAAAAAACCCTTTCAGTTTACATTGCTCTCAAGGAAAAAAAAAAAAAAATTGTATTTTGTTATACCTATAAGGCTTTCATCCACACTAGATTTAATTTAAGCAATGAGACAATAACTGTCTCTTAGTATCATAAAAATATAAATCTTACTTTGCATAAAATTTCCAATTTACTTAATAGTCTGACTTTCAAGCAGCTTACAAGAGGCATCCAAATCACCTTTAAAAGTGAAACCTGGATGTTAGTCTATTTTCAAATAAATTTAATATTCCTAGATTGCTAACATAAATCAGTGCATAGCTGTGCTGCTGGAGGTTGAGAATTGTAGTAAAAAAATTTACATCGTTATTACTGACAGGTGGTCCTTTACGAGTGTCACCCTCCTCAATTAAAGATTTCCTTTTTAGCAAAGCTTAAATTAATGCAAAGTTGACAAGTGTTCAACTGAGAAAAATGTTCACGTGTCCAAATCCTGTAGTCAGCTTTAGAAAAGCTCGTTATGGCCCCGCTTTTTATGACTTTGGAAAACAAATGTAATATCAGATATTAAAAAATGGATACATTCCTTTTTTCCATTTTTTTAAAGAATGATGTCACTATTTGAAGCAGATTCCATTAAGAGATTTCAAAACTGTTCCATCCTATAGGATTACCTAGTGCAGTTTCCTGTCCCCTGAAAAACCCCCTAATTTCCGAAATGTGTGATAGGCGCTCTGTCACCTGTGACTCTACCACTATTGAGCACATGATTTTCAACAAGACTTGTGTGTTACTTTACCAGCGATTTCTAATGTTTTATGTTTACATTACCATAGCTGCTTCAGGTTTGATATTACATAGGATATTTTTTAACTCTTCTGCAACACAGCTTACAAATTCTCATACATCTTATAATTGTTTTTTAACAGGCAAATACGGAACAAAAGTGTGTCCTGCTTTTTTCTTAAGTGTACCGTATATTTGCCTTCCCATATGGGCTGGGTTCAGAATTTATAACCAACCTTCGGTGACTTATGACACTCCAGTCAAGGTAATATTATTGTATTTAAGTGTTGGCTACAGTTAGGAAAACTGAAATATGCTTGCTGTTTCTTCTGAGTTTTATAGGTCCCTCAGTGAGTGTGGAATGCACTGTAACTGTTCACTGTTATGACAATTGCTGCAGGGCTGTGTAGACACTGTAAAAATATCTATTCTGAAGGACCATTTCATTATGGTGGGATAAAGAAAAAGCAAAAGCATCTCATGTTTAGAGTAAAGAACTCATTTTTAGGTGTAACTGTGTTACTACCCTCTATCTATGCAGTTTCTGACTGTTTCAGTTTCTTAGCTGATGAAAATACTGACACATACCAGCTTCATAAATCACCACAAAATCCTTACAGAAGCTCTGCAGGAAAGTATTCTTCTGCAGATGACTTACAGATTTCATGTAATTTAATAATTTTTTTAATGTGCTTTCTGCAATATTAGATTCTAGAGGTAAGACATTGTACATTAATTAATACGAAAATTATTTACACACCTTTTACTTATAAAAAAAAATCCGTAAAAATAATGTTTACTTAAAACTCCTTAGACCTTTGCCTTTGAATTTAATAGTTGGGCTGTAATAAGGTTAACTAAGCAATCAAAAATGCAATAATAGTTTATGCACTGTTTTATAAAAAAAAAAAATATCCCTGCAGTACAAAGCACAGAACAGATCTTCAACTCTTTGTTGCTATAAGCAAGCCAGTTTATTGCTACAGCACACCATATCAGTTGTAATATAATCAATTAATATTTTTGCATCACAAGAGCTCCTAAGTCTCAGTCAGGTTCGTTCTGTAACTGAAAACGTAGACACAGATGAAGTTAGTTCCTATTCCGTAGGTAATAGGCAGTCAGTGTGCAAGGGGCGTAGCCTATGGCATAGAATAACAGCAGATGATGCACTGACAGACTTTCCCAGAAATGTATGAAAGATAACATTCAGCCATCCATCCATGATTCTTCAGTAGGAAAGAGGGGTATAGACAGATGTTCATACCTCCTGAAGTTTGAAGAACTGTTACAGAATCACCACTTTTAGGGCAAATCCCTATGAAAGGCAAATTAGGGAAACTTCAGGTGCCAAACCCTCTTCTACCCTCCTGCATAGGCTTATAGGAAACCACATGTCCCATCCCAAAGCAATTTGAGCTGATTTACTTAAAGGTGTCACTAATTCTCGCCAGAAACACATTCTTTAGATTCATCAGGGTAGAGAAGTTAAGTGTAGTTAAAGGTAGTGATGGCGATTTTTGCTATATATGTTAGTGAAAACATCCTTTGCATGGAGGATGGATGAAGGTTTCCATTTGTTTTCTTAGTACTGAGAACACTACAGGAATTGCTATTATAGAAAATAAGTGATGGACTGCTTATTTGCTGAAATATAGCCATGTCTCCTATGCTTATCAGGAGCTAAACTGCTTACCTAGGTTTGATATTTTACTTTGGTATATATTGCAGAGAAACTTAGTTTTTAAATTCTATTTCAAAAAGATAGTGCATAAAAAGCTGGTGATCTGAAAATTTAACATTGCACTTCTTAGCAAATCCTTTCTTGTAAACCTAAACTTCCTTGCTCAAAAGGTCATAGAAAAAGCCTTGATTCCTTTCACTGGGGCCTCCTACCCTTCCTAAGTAATTTCTTTTTTAGAAGTCGTATTTTATCTTCACATTTATGCTCCATATCTGAGCATAAATACCTGGGTTCAATAACTATATACCTCAAAACGCCTTTAAATCTTAACACGACTACTCATGAATTTTTCTTATTTTTTATACAACTCTCTCAGTCCTAATTTAAATATTGTTTCCAGGAAATAATTGTGTGTAATGCTACTAATCAGTTAGCTAATCATTGTAAGTCCTGAAAATACTTAGTTCTCTTTCAATACATCATTTACAACTAGCTGTAAAATTGAACTTTTTTTAGTTCATTATTCATTATTCAGACTTGGTATTAAAAGATTTAGGAAGAAAATGTAATAATGCTTTTAAACGTGATAGTGCAAGTATATAGAAAAATACTTACATGAAAGCAATGGAAGCAAGGTATATTCTATTGGCCAAGGAACTCATTGCTATAATATTATTATAAACCAGTTAGCTAAAAAAAAAAAAAAATCATCACTGTGGGGACAGAGAAGAGGTAATCAAATTTTGGGTGTTTTCTAATAGGGGTGGGTGCATGGGAGAGGAATTTCTAAATGAGGGAGTTATGCCCTCATTTAGAATCAAACCAAGCTGTGCTGCAGTGTTTACAAAGCCAGTGGATTTATCTACAAGTATATCAGCTCAGAAAAGTAAATGTAATGTAAAACTCATTAACAGAATTAATACACATAAATTCAGATTTGCATATGAATTCTGAAGGGACTGACTTCTATGGACAGCACACAAGATTATTCCGCTTCCTTAAAACTGATCATGTAAGGAGCCCCTCAGAAGTTAGAGAAAATAGCTTTTTCCTGGAAGTGAGAGAAACTGCAAAGCATGCCTACACACTTCCTTGCTACACAAAAGAAACAGCAGGGTTGGCGAGATCTGTGCAGAGTTCAATGTTGTTTGCAATAAATGGGAAACCTGTGGCAGGTCATCTCTACTCGGCCAGTGTACTTAACGTGTAATTCATTTTAGCGTGTATTGATGTGACTTTGCTGTGTAAAAGAAGGGTAAGGCAAAATTACTACGTAGCTGAGGTCTGTCAGCAAAGTGCATACTGTCTTTCGAATTCTTGCTTCTGCTTTTTTTTTTTTAAGCTTTGCATTTTCATTTTGTTTGCATAAATGTATGCATAGAGAAAAAAGGTGCGAGTTTTCTGTACCTTGGCAATTTCACAAACTCGTACTGCACCAAAGGTTGTTTCCACTAACATTGGCTTTGTCTCCAAAACCTCTAAGTACAAAGTTCTGTTGTAGTCTTGTGATCACAGTAAATACGCACATTCATTTAATATACCTTTTGAAAGGAGGATTGATACATACACATATATATATATATATATATAAAAGCTTCATACTTAGACAAAAGTGGAAAGAAAATATCAACCCTCAAACTTTCCATTATCCTTAGGTAGTCTACATCTGAAAATGACTTGCAACTCAGCAGCCATGGGAGGCCTTTGTCTTTCATAGGAATAAGTGTTAGAACATAGACATTCTTTGCAGGTAATACTATAAAAATTCCTACGCTAGTACTTTAAATACTGTGAAGTGACACCATATTGCCAAAACAGACCTGTTCTTTGTGTTTGAAAAACAAACAAAGGTGTCACTTTTTTTTTTTTCCTAAAAAAGATCCTTTAAAAGAGAAAAAGAAATAGTTTTATGAAAGGGATGGCCTATGTGTTTAAAATAGCCTTATTTTTGTTAAACTACAATTCAGATCTTGCAATTCTTACTCAGGAATAATGCTTGCAAGATCGGTTCTCCTGTTTCAATAACTTTATTGTGAGTATCTTGATCCTGAGTGCTTTTAACTGTGCCTCTACATCCTAATTATTGTTTTGTGCTTTGGAGACAATTCCGTGAGTGTATAACAGGAAGGAAATCAGGTTTTTCTTTTGCTGTCTGCATGCCAACACTCGGCTAATAAAAAGGAAGAGGAAATGAGTAACACATATAAATGGGGAAGTTTTCCCTCTGAACTACAGAAAGATACTCTCATGTGCTTATAATTTTGTCTGCGACTACACAGTGCTGAAAGTGTACCTTGAATCATTTCCATGGGTCTTGTAAGTTTTACCATGTAAGCAAAGAGATGACTTTGGTTCCTCCAAGCAATCTTCCACGTTATCTGACCTTGGCTACCATAGAATGTGAACCCCTCACATCTGCCCGCACGGTGCAGCACAGGGATTCCTGTTTTGAGGCTGAGGAAAGGGGGTACAGAACAGATCAGATCCAGATGCTGAGAAGTGCTTCAATGCCCGTCAGAGGAATCTATCGCATACAGTAATAAAAGAAGGAAAGGAGGATTTTCCACATGTTCCATACACACACACACACATTTCATTCTCTATTTTTGCATTATATATTAAGATATATTATTTGCTCACTGAACTCAGCAGAGAACTCAACTGGCCACAAAAAAGCTTTTATTTTATGCCAGTGATATTCCATTAATTTCAATAGTGTCACAGGCTGCTGAAAACCAGCATTCACTGTCAATAACGAGATGGACCCTCATTTTGCTGTCCCTCCAAACAGTCCTTTTACAAAGTGTATTAGATTCAACTTCAAATGTTTGAGACAAACCTATGTTTCCAAAGCTTTTCTACATAGGGACATTCAGGAAAATGAATTCATTCCAATTAACAAAAGGCGCAACTTTGAAGAAGTTAGTTATGCTGCTTTAAAACCTTATGTGATTTCAGAGTTAAAGTAGTGTTCATTTGATTTAGGTTGCTCTGAAAGTAAACTAATCTGTATTGAAATGGCTTTAGTTGGATCTATGCATTTCTAGAGCTTACTCAGATTTATTTTCCTTACTGCATCCTATAATGTTTGAAGTCACCTTTTTAGATGTGGAAATCTTTCTGTCTCTGAAATCAGCAGATAAATAGGGTAACGTAACTGAGAACTAAGTGCTTCTATCATAATGTTTCACCACTGCACTTGTAGTGACTGATCTGGAGTTAAAATACATGTCACGTGGAACCGGGATGTACTTACTAAACACATTCTGTGTTGCAGGTGGTTCAGGAAGTCCAGAAGAAAGGACTCTTAAGACGACCAATAGATTTAATGTTAGCTGCATACCTCATTCTAGCAACGGGGTTTTGCATATTTAGGGGCATGGTAAGTTGAAGATATTTTAATATTCTGGCCTCTAATTTTCAGTCAAACTTTTAAATTTGAAATCATTGTGTCTGTGTGAAAAAGTATGCACATTTTGGTCAAGGGAAATCCTGTGACTTTCAGGGTTGGAATAGGCCTTAGATATACAAAGAGCAAATTGATTATTTATGAGAATTAGTGGTGCTTTGCTTCTGCATTTTGCCCTGTGTAAAGTATGTTTTTCAAAAGAAAGCAGGTGCACAATCACAAGAGCAAATAGCATCCCAAGTGCAGATTAACATGACCTGAAACTGTTTTCATTGGTCTGGTGTTACATTTATGGCCAAGAACATGGAGACAAACCAACTAAATTAAATCTGTATTCATGTTTTTCTAAACAGAGATGCATAGTTAAAATTATATAGGAAACCAAGTTAGTTTACACTGCATGAGATAGAGGAGAACATTTCCACCTGGAAAAAAAAAACCCCACAACTTATCCACATTACCTGAACAACACTTGTTGTTTCTATTTACCAAAAGCTGTTTTTTTTTAAGCGTTTGCTTTTTAAGCATAGTTGATTGAATTAAAATTTCTGAGGGGATGAATCAGAACTGAAAATACTTGAAGTAGATAAATCCAGTAGTAGGTAAATCTAGTCCTTTGTCAGCTCTAAAGCATTTTCTGTCTTAAGCGGAAGTTGTATGTCATTCAGTGAACTCAAATGTTTAGGTGTCTTAGACAACCGCCTGCTTGCTTGATTTGTAGATCTGATCCTGTCTAGCATAATTCAAGTAAGAGGTGACAATAAGTACCCAAGCAACATTTTATTTACTTAGCGCAGATTTTCCTTTTGTAGTTCTGCTGCTCACATTACTCCATCATCTGCTGCTGTTTCTCTGAAAACTTGCCTCTCAAAAATATTTTTTGCTTGTAACTTGTCACAGACTGCTTATTTCTTATAGATCATGCTACTTTAGAGCACCACTGATGCAGGTTAATCAGCTGTTTTACCTGTAATTTCGCTGTGGGAAATGTTAATCTCATGCTCTACATCTAACTTGGTTCTGCAATCCCACTTCTTCATTTCTCAGAGGAATTTTTTTGTTGATTTTGAGAGTGTCGTCATTTCCTTATATGTTTCCTTTACCAAACAGGAACTGCTTACTGGCCTTACTTACACATACAGAGATCAACTGAACATCTCTGTGTAAGCTGCAGTAACCAAGATTTTGTGAAAAAGCTAATAAAACATAATCCATTATAGCCCATCCAGACCTCCTTCTTGGATGCCCATGTTGGAAAAGAACAGGGAGGAATATCCACTGTTTGTAAATCTTTGCATTTCCCCTCAAAGTCACACAACAAATACACATGAAGTTCAGTTGTGCAAAACTTACTGTTCAGTCCTGTAACTTAGGCATTAACGATGCCTTGCCATAAAACACAGTGACAGCTCTTGACACAGATTGCTAACTCATTTTAGAATAGTATTTTTTGTAGTAGTTTCAAGGGCTACTATGAAAAGGAACTGCTTTTGCAACTGGGTCTCTCTCCACGTTTATTGGGAACTTTGTTCTTTGTATAGGAATGTAAAATCCAATAATCTCTCCTTTGCTAGTCTTTTTTAAAAATTATTATTATTATTTTAAGTAACACCTGTCTCTCTGCATTGCTCTCCACTGCTACCTTGCCACAAAGCAACTCTTTTCTTGGACTACATCCATAGCTTGCCATCTTAAAATGGGGTGCTTAACCTGAAGTTTCCACTGTTTGAGCAATTTTCCATTGCAAAGTTCATTGGCTGGGATCAAAGTCCGTTTATCAGAGCAAATCAATAGCAATTATACTTTTACTACAGCATAGCCAACTAACTGGATTCTCTTCCAGCCAAAATCTTTAAAGCATACTGTCAGCATTTCCTCACAAACCCTCTGAGCAGGAGCTGAGAGGAGGCTGCATTTCAGCTTTTTAATTGGTGATCAAATGGATCATCTTTGCAATAGATTTTGAGCAAGCCTCCAGGGTAGCAGTGCTGCAGACCACTAGTGAATCTTTAGGGCTGGTAACAGGTATCAGGTTATCTCATTTTAGAACAAATCTTTGTTCACGGGAAGTTTTAAAAATTCTTCTTAGATTGCTCTGGATTTTTTTGCCGGCTATATATTCAACTTCACGAGCCTTATATAAAAGATCCTGCTGCCTATCCTAAGCTTCAGGTAAAGCATTGACTGTGGAGCATAGAGTGTTAAGAAGTGATTTGTTAACTGGCACAAAGATGAAGCCATGGGTTTCACAGATGACAAGATCAATAAGGGAAGTATTTGTTCATGGCAAGTTAAATGGTATTTCATATTTTCTACTACAGCCATTACAGGGTACCAAGTCTTTGTTGTGATAAACTTAACTTGGATTCAAATCAGTTACCTAGAGTTACACATCCTAATAACTGAGGCTTCTTTTAATATATCCCATGAAACATATCTGCATGCTTTTTATGATCATTCCCCTTCCTTAGAAGGGCAAAGTAGACTTTCAGTCTGGAATAATGGAGCAAAAAGGAGTGTAGTAGGACTAGATTCCTTAAGCTCATGTTCGCTTCTGTCACCAGTGACACACTCCTTGAAACATGACTTTTTTTTTTTTTTTAACACAAACCCTATTTACACAAGCATTGCAGATGAGGGAATGTTGTGCTTTAGTTTTGTAGTATTTGCAAGGCTGCCATTCTTTTGTAACCCTGGCTGCTGCACGGGGGCAGGGCCTGAAGTTATAAGAGGATTCGGAAGTGAGGCAATGAGCAGAACCCAAATATCTCCGCTGGACCTGTTCTTTCTGGGAGAAGGGTGGCTTGAGTGTATCTCACACCTCCCAACTGAAAGTGCAATGGAGCTTGAGAAATGGATACCCGTGTTGTGTTGGACACCGAGTTAGGTCAAGCCACGCTTATTGGCATGGTCTCAAGATGGCAAGGGGTAGGAAAAGGTGTCCTGGGATATGGATTTGGATGGGGCAAAGAGACAACAGCCATCAATATTAGTGGAGGCCTTAGGGTAGCTGGATGCAGTCAATAGCATCCAGGTGTGAAATTCTTCTCTCAGAGAAGTTATAACTGCAAAAAGGCCTGGGAATCATTGCTGCTAGGAGTGTAGTCTCAAATCCTCAGTCAGCAGCCGGCTAATTTTTAAATGCATCTCCGTCACACTGCAAAGCAACTAATATTTCTGTTTAAAATGCAGATGCTGGCATACATGTTCTACTCTGTGCCATACTATGTGATTGCTCTGTATGGCCTACTGGTGCCTGGTTGTTCCTGGATGCCCGATTTAACCCTTATACATGCTGGAGGACTAGCTCAGGTATTTCTTTGTAAAATGTTCACTCTTGAATTACAAGTTAATAGACCTATGGAATAAATAAGGGGCCCAGGGCTTGATCTTCCCATGCAGGTTTTATGCCATTGTAACTCAGATCACCTTTTATATCTGTAAAAAACTAATTTAAGGGAGTGGAGAATCAAACCTATTGTATGTCTCTAATGACTGCATTCTTGCTTTAGTAGACTTCTCTCCTTCTTCAGAACCTTTTTATTGGGCTCATTTAAGCCTTATGAAGCACCATGCACTCTTTAGCTGAGATCATGAAGGAAGCCTGCATTAAAGCTGTAACAGTCGACCATGTAAAAAAACCCAAAACACAACAAAACAGTAAAATACATTGTTTCTGTAATATGTTTTGGCCAACTAGGTAGTCTGAAAAAGATAAATGGAAAAAAGTATCTACTAGTCACACAAAATTAACAATATCAGTTGATGATGTTGATTTAACACTGGGAACCTCCAGGGCCACAAACCACAGTAACACTGAGACATGCTCATGTTGCCAAAGGCAGACCAATGATCATACTTTCTTAATTCATTCTATTCTGATTCTCTTAAATAAGCCACTGTAGTTAATTACTAGATGGCACTGATGGTTATGAGAAGACTGGCCAAAACAAAAAAATTCAAAAGGAACTAGTAAATGACTTCTCATGACATATAGATGACCATTTAACAGTTGAGACAGTGACAACTGATTTGTAGTATACGTAAGAAATGAAATGTGCTCTAAGCATCCAGATGCAGAGAATACGCACATAATCCTGGAACAATAATGAGAACATAGGGACACAGCAATAAGTGTAATTCAGGTACCGCTATTTGACAAACACTTTGTTTCCCAGGCCAGAGACAACAGTCATAGATACAAACTACAATCCAGCTTAACTGCCCAGTAAGGATGGGGGGAGTGACAGTTTATTTTCTATTTGTGAGCAACTACCACAGAGAATGACTTTTTTTGTTTTTGAGCACACCAGTTTATAGAAGATCTTGAATCACCAAATTATATCAAAACAGTATCCGCAAAGATGTTAATGAGGAGATTTAAATGCTCAAAAGGTATCATACATATCATACAACTGTTTGGCCCAAATCTAATCTAAAAAAAGCACAAGCTAGCTAAAGTAGGCAAGCCAGTGTCAGGAACCTCTCTCTACTGACAGATTACTCAGGTTTCATTAATTCCCCAGACAGTCAGGAAAGAAACCGCCCCTTCAAAGATTATTTAGCACAAGGAAAAGTAAACCAGAAGTCAAAGTGTGCTGACTATCACAACCTTGCAAATTTACCAAGAAGCTCAGCCCCTCAGATCGGAGGTGATTTTTGTTTGGTTGGTTTTGGTTTGTTGGGGTTGGTTGGTTTGTTTTTTAAAATGTTTCCCATAACAAACACTTCTTTTTTAATGGCACTTTGTAACTTTTCACTGTATGATTAATACATGCAATATTTTGTTACTGAAGCCTAGAACCCCTCTGTTGTCCCTTGTCGTTTGGCTTCAGGATAATGTTGATTTACATATTAGACAAGGAGAAGAAAAGCTACCCAAAGCTAACACTCAAAATTTCCCATCTTACTCTTTGAAGCTTGCCTAGACACAAGCAAAAACCATGGGCTGACAAAAATTAACTGATGAAGAGAATTGTATGTTGCTGCACACTCCCCGCATTTTATCCTGATTCAAGAAACATCTCTAAGTTTGGGGGTTTTTGTAGTTTTGACTTTAGTGCACTGCAGAATGAACTTCAGTCTTCCCACAACTGAACGTGATTTAATTGATTTGGACTTGGTGAACTGTGAGCAACCTGGGATGAAAAATGTGTGTGACAATGAGTTGAGGGCTCACTTCTGTATTATTTTTGGTTTTGGTCATTTTGAGGCACAAAACACATTTCCAGGTTTGTCTACTGTTTTCTCAAGTTAAAACACTTGTAATTGATAATTAGAACATATGTAGTTACTGAAACACATGTAAAACGCTCTCTGTTATGCAAAGGTCCAAAAAAAGTAAATATCTAATGATGAAAACAGTGGGCATTGCCCCTGGGAATGAACACTGCTCCTATAGATGACGAATGTGGGGATTTTAATTATTTTTATTTCTGTCATTATGAAGGATGTACTTTTTACAAAGACAAGTCTCAAAATGCCATGTGATGCATCAAATTAAGAACCTCTTAAAGGGCCTAGCCTTTCGCACACAAAGAGAAGTATTTCCTGTTTTTCAGAATTACATAGAGCTCTCAGCTTGAATTACTCTGTTACTAACATTCAGACTCCAAAACCAGGTTGTAACCCTTGTTAGACTTTCTGAAGCTTCAGGAAGAGCTCTTAAATGTCACACGACTAAAGTACCAGGAGCTTTGATTATATAAAAGGGTTGGAATAGCCTCTGAACTTGATTAAATTTCTATTTCCCTATGCAAGTGAGCCACATGAGAAGGGATGAAGAGCTATAGCCCTGCTATCCAAAACCATTCTGTCTCACCAGCTCTCCAGAGCCCACTTCCCTATTCTTTCAAATGTAGAAAGTTTTTCCTCTACTCCTTCTCCGTCTAAGTGTTTTCCTTAATCCTGCAATTTTTGGTGGCTAGTTTCTGCAGTGCCTCTTGTCTACAAGAGAACCTAAACCTAAGGAACGTATTTTTCTAGGTTACTCTCTCCCCACTCTATTCGATGGCTTTCCCTAGGCTCTTAAGACCTGGTCCAAACCCCTCCAAAATCAATTACAGTCTTTGCCTGATTTTGATCAGTTTTAGAGAAAAGGCACAGAATGAAGAAGGACTCCTAACCTTTTTCCAGGCCCTTCTCTGTCCCTAGCTGGAAGGCTTTCTTGACTGCAGGGTAAGAAATATTCAAAGTATTGCCTATGATTAGGCTACAGGCAAAAAATCTTGTAAAAAAAAAAAATCCAAACCCAAACTATTTTGTACAGACAATAAGCTTACTGAGTAGCAGGCATATGCAATTGCAGTTGTCAAGTTGAGCAGTGCCATGTCCAGCACCAGGCAGCTTCCAGTTGCTATGGGACGGCCTGATCAGCAGACTGGCTGAGGCTTCGAGGTTAAAGGCTGTATATTAAACAGATAAGGCTACCTTAGAAGTTTACCTGCAGCATCTCATTTGGTTGGTTTCTCAGCCAAGGTCTAGGGGTTTGATCCTCAAAATTCTCCACTTAGAGAGGGTTCAATAACAGAAAGTACCAAGGAATGGCTTATTCGCTGAGAGGACCTGATCACGGTGAGGTAACACAACAGACTCTAGGTTGCTCTTGTTTACCGCAATGCCAGCCTGTCGCACAACAGGCACAGTGATGTGCAGTAACTAACGGCTTTTGTCTTACTGCTTAAAATTACGGATTTGGTGCAAGTCTGCCTAGTACTTGAAAGAAGAGCAGGCCTGGGCTACTGGTGAGTGAGAGGTCTGCTTTTAAGACATCCCCCTACCCCAAGAGGGACAAAAAAAAAAGGAGGAAAGAAAAAGAAAAAAACCCAAAAATAAAACCAACCAAAAACTAAAAACCAGAAGCAGAGTACGGTCATGGAAAGGAAACACATGAGATTAAAGACATAACACAATTCCCACAGAGGCAAATCCAATTAAAAACAGAAAAGTGACTTTAACAGACCTAAATATCCTCCCTGATAATGAAAAGAAAAAGCAATGTGTTATATTGAAAAACAAGTCTAATAAACAGTAACTTCATTATATGGTGCATCATTAGCTAGTAAAAATCTTCATGGGCTACAAATAGAACAAAACATTTCTGCTTTTTATAATGCTCAAAGCTCACTAACGTGCCACAACTCTTGTAAGAGACAAGACCACACAATAAGGCTTAGATCTTCAAAGGCATCTAGGAGGCTGTGGGAGTTCTGGGTTCCTCAGCAGCAGTCCCTTATAGCTCTTTCTGACAAGGCTTACTATGAACTTACTATGAATTTACTATCAACTTACTATGATGCACAGCTGGCCACTCTTGGAGACAGGCAGGCCTTGCAATCCTCCACAGAGAAGTACATAGCTTGTCTACCCCAGAAGAGGCTCTAAAATGCTACCAGGAAGCTGTTAGTGCCTAGGTAAACATGAGACAGCCCCAAACCTCCTACCTGAAGCCTGGTGGTGGCTGGCTGCTTGGGAAACTGCTGCCTCATATAACAAGAGGTGTTTGCTGCCGAGCGCTAATGCTCTGGCTGCCTGGGCTGAGATGGCTCCCCAGGTGAGGAAAGGTAGCAGGCATCTGCGCACAGACCACCCAGGTGCCAAAGGCGGTTCCTGCCTGAGACAGGTGAGAACAAACGGGCTGCAATAGACAGCCTGAATTATGAGGCTGATATAAAAAGGCGGCTGATAGCATGCCGCTGAACATCTGTTTACTGTGTAATAGCTATTTACAGAAACATGCTAAGTGGCACTCTGCTGAAGTGTGTTTGTATTTGGTTTCTTTGATTACTTCGTTTCCTGACTCAGGTTTGCTAGATCAGCTCTCCCTGTTAAGCGCAGGTGGTTAGACTCACCTGAAAACTGATTTCCTTTTCTGTTTTGATGTATGGTCTCAGCCTAACCTTTTGCTAGAGGGGTGTGTATTAGAACACCTGCGCTGTATTTCACTTTCTACTTCGCTAACCGTGAACAGAACTGTGTTCTTAGTGAGTCCAAAATAACTCCTGCTGAAGCCAGAACGGAGGACGTGATTTGGCCATAGTGTACTCCTCTGCATTACTAAAATCCTGGTGTCCCTTTCTCCTGCTCTGCTTAAGATCAAATTGATGTTTATCTTCTCAGATCTCTTCCACTGCTAACTAACTAACTAATAATAAAAAAATTGGACACACAATAGTTAATGTGAACAAGCTGTGGCTTGAAATAGCAGGTAACAGATGGAGACAAAAGACAGTGACTATCCTGACGCTTCTATCTTTAAATGTTTGTTTATGCTAAAAATATGCTTCAGCCCAGCAAGCTTGTCTTTGCATATAACCTTCACTGTAAACTTAACCTATACTTCAGAACCGCCCCCAGCCCAAAAGCCAAATACTGCTGACGTTTTCTGAAATCATCAGGAGTTCTGGGATCAGAATCTGGAAGACTGGGTTTAAGATTAAAAAAAAAAACCAAAACCAGAACTAACATAGCTTCCAAGTTTTTATTTTCTAACTTTATTCAGAGTGAGTGTCTGCCTGCTTCCCCTTGATGCCAAACACAACATTCCTTGGTAGGTGGGTGCGAATCCTACCCCCACTACTGGGCTGAGGCTCAGGGGTGCAGATCCCAGCAGTGATGCACACTTCAGTGGCCATTTGCCTGGGGAAGGATCATCGACCCTGTTGCATGAAGAATTACCTATAAGCCACGGGTGAAATCCTATACTGATGTAAAGATCAGTGCCACCATGTGCATAAAATAAACCTCCTACCATGGTACTGACAGTTCCTCGTATGACTCTTATACCAAGATATTAATGACCTTAGTTTAGACTGTATTTTTATACTGCTGTGCAAAAGTATGATGGATAATTCTTGAATAAAAGGGCTGGCTTGGAAAATGTCACTGGAGATGCATACTTGCATGCAGATTATGCTGTCTTTCCAAAATATACATCAACTTTACCTTTTTTTAATATATACGTTATATACACACCACAGGCTCAATTTTCCCATATTGGTGCTTCTCTTCATGCTCGAACTCCTTACATCTACAGAGTCCCTGAAGAAGCAAAACAGTTTTTTCTGATATTGAACATAATGTATGGGATTCTTCCCCAGCTGTTGGCTTACAGGTGTGTCAACAAGCCAGAGTTTTTTATGAAAACAAAACAAGAAGAAAAAACGGAATAGCACAACTGTTTTCAGCTCCTTTTTTTGGCTCTGTATATAATTGGGTTGGGATGTAATTGAACTGCTCAAATGGAACCCAAATGAAGCGTGTAAGATGTGTAAAATTGCACAATTGTGTAAAGTTGCACAGTCTGTTTTGTTTATCCTACTCAAAAAGGGAAAATAAAGACAACTGCCTTCAGTACCACTTCTCAACATTTTGACTTTGCGCTTCAGTGGAGTTGCTAGTTCACATAGCTATTTTTAAGTAAGCTGCTTTGACAGTTTTAGAAATACTGCATGAAGTTAAATAATAATAATGATGTCAGTGTTTAGCCTCCACACACTGAAGAATATCAGTGCTAGCAATCCCTACACAGAGCTACTGTAGAATGTGAAGGTCAATATTTTGAAGTGTGAAAAATTAACATACATAACTCTGTCACATGCACATGTTTTATTTGTCAAAAAGTATGTCTTGTGGGTCAGCCTTGTTAAAAATCCCAAGAAATCTTTTAAGAAGCAATCAACTCTTACGGTAAGACTCCATATATGATAAGCAAATCATATAGTTTTGTTAATTCTTTTAAGGATTCACTGCTGCAAGGACTGCTCATCTGCTTGAAGTTAAGCATGTGCTTACTAGCACTTCTGAACTGGGCACGGAGGGCTCATTACCTTGAACAATCAGGCCTTACACCGTAGCATGCATTTTCAGAGAGGAGGGTTTTTTGGCCGTGTTCTTCTCTGCAGCTACTTTTGCTAATGCTGTTGGGTCATAAACAAGTAGCAGCAAATACAGCGACCTCGGTTTGTGTAGTTTGTTTCTGTTTGCAATTACAACTATTTCTATGACTTCTCTGTGTATTTATACTAAAAGCAGTACGTTTAGTGCCTTTCTCACAGATGAAATTAGCTGATACATTTTAACTGGAAACACTTTATTTTGGGATGTTGACTTTTGGCTGTTTTGATTTAGAGAATTTAATTTTCTTTTTAAACCTAATCAGTAACAAGAAAGCATCAGCTCATGCGCATGCGTGTTGCACCCTGCACAAGGGGACTTTCAGAGCAGCAAGAAATCCATGCTTTAGCCCTCTCCCGTTGAACACTGAGGTGTAGTTCACCGCAGTGCTCAGAAGAGAGAACCCACGGTTTTATACCCCCAGCCAAAGGGGCAGGCCCGAAACAACACATCTCAGTCAACGCTTCTGGGCAAAAAGGAACTTAGCAATAATTTCCTCCAGCACCCGGCCTCCCTGGTGTGGGCTCCTTCCATGTACGCTAGAATTCGGGATAGCTCCATCCCAGTACGTCCTCCCAAGAAAACAAACCCAGAGCTGTTGGGCTGTAATAGGACATGCTGGCTCACAAACTGTTATTTGAGCCTCTGATGTTACTTCTAATGTTTTTAAAGAAACTTTGAGTACATTCAAGGTGAATTTAATAACCTCCTGTTATCCCGAAAAGGCAAAGTACAGAAAAAATAAAGATCTCACCTGCACTTGTATCTATTATGGTCAACTCATGTTAACAGAATGTTTTGCTTTAATACTTGACTTACATTAATACCTCACATTATTACACGTATGAAGCCAAATATGACGCTAACTTAGTTGCTTACAACCTCAAACCTTACTCCCAATACACATTCCAATAAATTTATTCTGTAAAAACAATACATTTTTTTGTTTTCTTTTTGTTTTGTTTTTTGTTTTTTTGTTGTGGTTTTTTTTTAGTTTTTTACAGTAAACTCGTCAACTACAAACCTTGAATACGCAAAAGATGTTCCAAGGACAAGCATAACAAGGATTGATAAAACCAGACTAAATATGTTTTCACAATAAAAGCTGGCATAAAAATAAATAAAAATCTCTATTATCACAATAGCAACAATAATGTACACAGAATAATGGATTTGGAATGCTTACTTACTAGTCTAGTTCTATTTCCAAAAGGAAAAAAAAGCCAGAATGACAGCATCCTTTTTTAAGCCTTTCATTATTTAAAATTGATGTTTTCTTTTGGTTTCCCATAGGGTTCTATATCACAGTAAGCTTAAAAATGGAAAGCATCCAAATGAATGATTTCAAATTGTGTTGGCATTGGAAAAAATCCTTGTATTAATCTAAAGAAACACAAAAAGACTTTCACTAACTCCACATATAGGAACTAAGTCAGATAGTGTACATTACATCATGATTTTGAGAAGTATTAAGAGTATAACTAGCTAGGTACTTCTAATAAGGAAAGGTATTTTATTACATTATTGAACTTGGCGGTGATCTCAACTGAAGAATTTTTCTTTTATGTTGTAAACTGATCAAAAATCAAGAAAGTATGGATATAGGGAAATTTAAAATTATGTTTGTAGGTGGAAGATATTGTTGTAGTCTCGTATGGAGGGGACTCATTTCTAAGATTTACTTGTTTTTAAAAAAATGCTGATTTAGAATGATGTAATTTGGAGTTACACCTTTTCTATCTAGAAAAGGAATCTAAAACATGTTCAAGTATGCGATATCTTCATAAACCTCAGCCACTGGTAAAGGGCAACTTCATGCAACCAAATAATATGAAAATCAAAAAGTAACCCTTAGAAAAAAGGGCAAATGTCATTTCTGCAAACACAACAGATAGGAATGTGAATAATGTGCATACAAACTGGGATGCTGTTGATGATACTAATGAACAGATGTGGTGACTCATATCAAATCCAAGAATATTAGACAACCAAACATGTAACCTTCTTGTGTTTTCCCTTAATATTCAGCAGTCATTATGTTGGTTAAGTCTGAAAGAGAAAAAAAAAATCACATTTAATGTAAGAAAGAGCATGCTGCAATTTGCTTGATATAATTAATGCCGTATTCCCACACTTCAAAGTCTACAGGTATAAGTAACCACCGGGTCTGTTTGAACAGAAATTTTTTCCTAGACGAAACTGCTTATGTTACATCAACTAAACATACCACTACAAAATATTAAAGAATACCGTTTAAAAGTAAACATTTAGGGCTTTATTCAAGTAAGCAGCTCGAGTCATGTATGTGGGTTGTTTTTTGTTTTCCCCAATCGCTTAATTACGAATCTTACAGTATACTTCACACACAACCAAATTTTGCATTTTTCCACTACACTAAACCACTGATACGCTTCATGCAAAAGCTCAGGCCCTGCTGCATTCCTGAATGCCTTGCGATGAGAACACCCTTTTGCTGAAACAAAGGAACACTTAGCAAGGATGAAGAAAGATAAACAGTTTTCATAGCTAACATATCTGAACGTTGTTTCTGAAAAGGAAACTGTTTGGCTTGGAGTTCATTGTAAGGTGATGACAGAAAAGGAAGAAACTCCCACTTCATGACTGAGTCAAGGTCAGCTCTTGCTTCCACTGACGTTAGTGGGAACAGGATCAGACCGTCCTTGTGATCATGGCAAGTGTCTCCAAGTCTCGGTTTCTTCGTATTAAACAGAGATCGCAAAACTCACCTACAGGCACAGGGACAAACTACTTTTGTCCAACAACATGAAGACATGCAACGCTACAAAGAATCACAGAATCATAGAATCATT